CACCTCACAGCTATGTAAGAAGTCAGGCTGTTAAATAGGTTGCAACCCGTGCTTCCCAGAATCTGTCCCAGCCTGCAGTCCGGTAATTCCCTGTTGTCTGTGTTGATCTCAGCTTCCAGCATGTGGCAGAGCTGACCCCAGCTCCTGGACCACAGCTGCCATCCCCGCTTGGCAAGGACACCAGAGGGCAGCCATGTATTGGCCAGGGGACCCCGCCTGCAAAGCTGCTGGGGTTTCCAGCTGCCTTGGCACATCCTGGGAATTCTCCCCCTGCCTGGAAAGGTCTTGGTGGTGTTGGCTGCCTGTGAGAGCCCAATAGAGGCCAAGGCTTGGGGGTGGGGTGGGGATGGGGACCCAGCCCAGAGGGTGGGAAGGCAGACAAGCTCCCACTGACCTCATCAAAGGTGATTTCTTCATAGTCCCACTTCTCAACGTTGAACAGCATAACCACTCGGCCGTATTTGTCCCGACTGGAGAGGACACCAGGGTAGCCAGCCTCAATGGTGCAGCGGATGGCCTCCAGGGACAGGCTGTCGAAGAGCTCGGGGTACTGCAGCCGGAAGTGCACGTAGCCTGGCGGAGGCAGGGCAGAGGAGCCCACTCAGGGAGCCACCCCTCCCTGGGGTGGCACACGTCGTCGGGAATTCAGAGACCTGTGTGTGACCCCGCAGGACACTTCGACTTTCTGAGGATAATACTGGCCTTTCTCACCAAATTGTCACGATAACCAAACAAGATTTGTAGGTATGAACATCATTTATAAACTGCACACACATGAGATGTAATCCTAAATCTGAGGACAACTAATCTCTTGTTCTTTTCTCTCGCCCAGGGGTAGAGGCACAGGTTTCTCAGTTGGGCACAGGGTGAGCTAAGTGGGGGTGGGGAGAAGACCCCAAGATAAAACCTAAACCACAAGCAGGACCCAGCGGCCCCTCCGATTCCACAGCACTTCTACCACCTATAAACCCCATCCTTGCCCATCCTGAACGGGTCCCCTCCTCTCTGTGGCTGTCTCTACCACCAAACCCCAGAGGGGCCAGGCCCAAGGAGAGGTTCCGGGAGCATCTACCATGCTCCCACATCCTAGCCTGGCCCTTGCAGTTCCCTCTGCCCTACGGCTTACCCCCCAGAGATCCCATGCCCCTTGGGTTTTCTTCAAGAGTTCCCTTTGCACCACAGCCTCCCTGGCCACTTCACCTAAAACTTCAACCCCTCCATCCTGTATCTCCGCCTCCTTCATTTTTCTCATTATCCCTTTTTACTATCTAACGGTCTACCTCTTTTTATTTTCTTGATCTGGTTTTATTATTTCCACCATTAGACTATAAGGTCCGTGAGGGCGGGCCGTTCCGATCCACTGTGTTCTCTGCTGCATCCTTTGGCCTAAAACAGCCGTTGGCACAGCATGGCAGTGAATTACCATTTGAGGAAGGAAGAAGAAAGAAAAGGAGGCTCATTCACTCGCAGAAGGCCTGCTCAGACACCCCTTCCCTCCACCAGCGCCAAGGACTTGTCTCGGTCCAGCCGGCTGGCACCATCTTCAGTTCCACTGTGCATGAGCTTTAGGTACCTGTGGGGAGCTGGGCAACGCATACCCACCTTCCTGCAGTGCTTCAGAGCCAAAGCCTAGCCCCTGGGGGGAAACCCCTCCCCTCCTTGTGCACCCAGTTGGGTGGCTGAGTTCTACCCATTGAGCCCCAAGACTGGGAGAGAGGGGAGAGGAGTCAGATCCCTAAGAAGGTGGCCCTGCCAGACTCATTGATTCATTGGGATTTCCGAGGCTGTTTAGTTTGCTCACTCATTTTATAAGGGAGGACAGACAAGTTCAGAGACCCGCGCAGGGCAGGGGATGGGAGGGAAGTGGAGGAGTCCGTCTCCTCCGTGGCTGCCTGAGGGTCGACACCAATCTCAGGACCCTCCCCGCAACCCCGCAGCCTTCCCAGAGCCCCGTCTGCAGCGCGGGGCTCACCTCTGAGCAGCTGGTAGGCGCGCCCCACGTGGAACTTGCGCGCCCGGATGAAGCGCAGGAAGAAGGCGCTGTCCCTCCCCTGCACCTTCTCGGCCACGGCCTGGGCCAGCTCCTGCCCTGAGTCCGCCTGCGCCCGCACCAGCTCCTGCAGCTCTCGCACCACGTCTTCCCGACTCTCCTCCCTCTCGTTCAGCTCGTCCCTGGCCTGGAACAGAGTCGGGTGGAAGCACAGAGTCACAGGGAGGTGCTTTGCGGAGAGGGACCAACAACACACACAGCCGAGGGGCCGAGACGGCTGCAGCTCAGGCCATCGCTTCTCTGCCCACGGGGCAGCCACCGCACTGGCAGTGCCTCCGACAGCCGGTTATATTTGGAGAACATTAGTTCAAGCTGCTCATCCTGGGTTCTTCGCAGGAGATAGCCAAAGGTCTAAGTGTTTCTAATCCTAACAGCCTACACTTACCGGAGTCCTTGGTTAACACCCTGCCAAGTCCTTTGAACACCTTGTGTCTTTGCCACACCCATCACAGTAAGGGAGGTAGCTTCTCCCCATTCTCTGATGAGATCAGTGTGCCTCAGGCAGCTCTGTTCTTGGACAGCATGAGCGGGGCAGGCAGGGGAGGAGGGGGTCAAGGCGAGAGCTCAGAGCACTTTCCCTTGTGAAGCCCAGGGAAGCAGACATGGAAGCCAGGAGCCCAGGCTCAGCTCAGCCCCAGCACAGCTCTGCCAGCCTCGACAGAGAGCAGTCCGATCCTTTCTGAGCCGGTCCAACCACTTTCCTTTGATAGGTTTGGAAGGCAAAACCCAGAGAGGGAAAGCAGTTGGCTCAAGGTCACACAGCAAGTTGGAAGTAGGTCTGATTCTCAAACTCAGGCCTCTGCCTTTCTAGTGGGGGCAGCAGTTGGCTCCCTGTCCCCCAGGGCCACGTGCAAACCAGTGCTCCTACTATCAGAGTTTAGGATGATCCCTGGTCCAGAGGCCCCAGGTCTCGGCATTGGTTTCAGGGAACTCTGTCGGTGCTGTAGTCTTAGATTAGGCTGGCCTGGATGTCTGGTCAGTCCAGTTGCTGCCATGGCCCTGACCTCCAGGATGGCCCCTAGAACAGGCCAGTCCTTTAGGTCCAGGATGACCTGGAGAGCTGGGGCTGGACCCTTCTATGGGAGAGAATGCTGTCTACGTTCCCCGCTTGTCGCCCCCCCTAGCCCGCCCCTCCCCGCACCCCTGGCCACCTCACCTTCTGCAAGGTATGGGGGGGCAGCTTGATGCAGTGGCCAAAGACAGGCCCGTGGTCCTTGGTCGTAAGCCTCTCCAGCTGGACACGCAGCTCCCGTTCCTCTTCAGGGAGCACGCGGAAGGTGCCCGCCTGGCCAGAGAAGAGGCAGGGAAAGGAGGGAACAGGCCTGAGTGAGCAAACGGGCCTGCTCAGACCCTAAACGGGTTCTTTTGCCCAAGGTCTCTGTTAAGCTTCCTCTCTTGGGGTGGGGTCAGGGACCACAGAGAAAGTGTA